GGTAGACAAATCCTCACAGGACACGGCTGTTTCAAAGTATATTTGAAACGATTCAAACACGAGAGTGATGACATATGCGACATTTGCGGTAGAGCTGCAAAACAATCGATGGGTTATCTTTAGTATCGATAGTTTATTTTGATTATCAGCGGTTTATGCCCTAATCTAGATCAACAATTTTTATAAAATAGCAACATTTCACTGAATATAGCTACATATTGATACAAGTATAGTCTGGTAAGTGAAGTCTAATTTTGGATAACATCGTACCACTTAAATCATCTCTCAATTCTTGGCTTGTGGTTTAAATTTTTTAAAATAATATACAAGTTGTTACATATAAATATTTTTACACGTTAGAAAAAATGTTGCAAAAACATTCACAATTAGGTAAAAGTTTCTAATATTCTGAAATGCCAGCTGCATATAACCCCACTTAGCCATACAGAATCAGAATTTTTGACTCAACCTAAAGTATATAAATATAAGTTTCTTAGTCCATATTACATTGAGCTAGTGTATAAATAAATGTACCTCTTTATAACTCGTCAGAAGTTTATATAGATGAAAAATTTTATATGTAACGCTATTAATTTTTTTTCATTCTTTTGTTATGGTTCATGCTTTGTTTTATAAATAAAGCCAAATCTTATTTCATAAAAATGAAGAGTACAAAGCCAAAGTCTCTTAATTTAAACTAGCGAAAAGTGGATTTCCAAGAGAAAAACTATAAATACTATCGATAGTATTTATTTTTAGCTATCGAAACTATTGAGTGGTTTGCATACCAAAATGATTATAGTATATGGGAAAGGTTCATTAGAACATAAGAACTTTAGAAAATATGACTTGACTTCATGATACTTTATATGTAACTAGAAGACCTGACCACGCGCTGCTGTGGCTAAGGTGTATATTAAATTATATTATTATAAATTATTCAATATAGTAAATGGTATTAATGAATAAAGACGAAAACGTTATTGGTGGTATAGTACCCATGGAATACGTGACAACAGGACCATTTTTCCATTAATTTTTAATGCATTGCGTATTTGGTTATAGTTTTATTATACCATTCCCAATTTCTAGCAATTATTCGGAATATATTTGTGGTGGTTAATTAATTTGCAATTGCATACGCATATTTAAGGTCAATCAAATCATCTCAACACTTCACCATAAGAACGATTATTTCAACTTTTGTTAATCTTGAATTTAGAAAAGCGAAGAATCATCAAACTCATTCCAAATTATGATTGAATTTTTTTTCTACACTTGAGCTATTCCATTATTTTTTTATTTTACACGAGTTTGAGATATACATATTAAAATCTTGATAATGATGATTTCGATGACGGTGCTCGATATGTTATATAAACATGTACATAAGTATACAAGTATGTTCTTTAATGTTGTAAATCATACTTGTATTTTTATTCTATCATCAATAATTTCCGCAACGCATGCGACGAAAGACGTTTTAGGGAACTTTTTTACACCTTGGGTTACGTTACTTAAGTTTTAGTAAAGATCCATAATCTTTTTTAGCAATAAATAAAGCCTATGTTACTCAGGGTGAATGTAGCTTTCCAATGGTGAAAGAATTTTTAAAATCGACACAGAAGTTTTTGAGCTTATTCATTACAACCCTTCCACTTAATAATAGTAGTGTATATCAAAGTGTATTGTACAAAATGAAATAAGTATTTGATTTAAGCTTATTTGACAATAAAATAGTAAACAATTCATGTATTTGACTATATTAACCCGTCTGTGCTTTTTATTGATCTTAAACAACATGAAGCCACTTGCTTTATATATGATAAATAGAAACGTAATAGAGATAGAAACCACTCTGTTGGTTCTCAACATTATAATGAATTCATATTTATTTTACAAATAATTACATACGTGTATAAATGCAACACTATTTACAAATATTAATTACTACTGTTTTTATACTCTCGCAACTTGTTGCTACAGAGTATAATAGTTTTGTTTACCTAACGGTTGTTTATATCACCTAAAACTAATCGAGTTAGATATAGGGTTATATATATATAAATGATCAAGATAAAGCGACGAGTGAAAATCCAGGTGACTGTGTGTCCGCCCGTCCGTCTATCTTTATGAAACTTGGTACACATGTTTGTTTGTACCATTAGACGGTTGGTATTGCAGATGGGCGTAATCGGACCACTGCCACGACCACAAAACGCCATTCATCAAAAACAAATAAATTGCTATAACTCCGCAATAAGATACAAGACTGTTATTTGGTACACAGGATCACATTAGGGAGGGGCATCTGCATTTAAAATGTTTTAAGCACCTCTACCTACAGTGTGAAAATGGATGAAATCGGGTGACAACCCCGCCCACTCCCCATATAACGATACTGTTAAAAACTACTAAAAGCGCTATAAACCAAGCATTAACCACGCCAGAGACATTAAATTTTATCTCTAGGATGGTAAGAGATGATTTTATAGGAACCGCGTTCAAAATTAGTCAGTAGGCGTGGCACCGCCCAGTTTTAGATGAAAACCCATAACTTTTGATCTGCTTAACCGATTTTAGTCAAATTCGGTACATAACATTATTTTCATATTTCTAGTTCAGAGTGCGAAAACAGATTTTTTCATATCCCAGTATGCAAATCAAGCAATGATTATATCGCGGTAAAACTTTGCGTGAGTATTACATTTAAAGTATGCCACCTTGTGACCAAAAATTATCTAAGTCGAACCAAAACTGTTCAAGCCCCTGGGTACTGAATATGTGGACCTTCTACCGAAAATATCGGTCAATCCACAAAGAAATCTCAAACGAGTATACCATTCGTCTTTGCGAGAGTAGAAAATGGTAGGCTACATCCGAACTTAGTGCTTCCTTACTTGTTAACTATAAATGTATGTGCATATGTGGCTACCAGTACCGCGCCAAAATATTAGAAACTCTATACAGTTGTCTAACCAACTGTTTAAATTATTAGTTTAAAAATTAGTTACTGATCAATGGCGAAAATGTAAAATTTCTATTTATCAGAAGATGAAGGTTTCTTGTTTGTTTTTTTCAATATTGGGAAGTAATTTCAATAAAGATCCTACATCGAGGCGTAGTCGTCCTCTTAGAGGGAGATTATTTCCCCCGCTTTAAAATGTAGCCCACCTATTCTTGATGACAGACTGAGTTTCACGCAATATATTGTACTTTTGCCCATTTCTCTCGTTACGAGTTGTCAGTTGGAGCGCAAAACATTCTAAGTTGCTTCCATAATTTGTTTTGCACAATCAGCAAGTATTCGGCATTTTATTTTATTTATTTAAAAAACAATTTGTTTTTCGTTTTAAAATTTGGTTACTTAAATTGCAAAATTTAAATTTTTGGATAAATGTAAGGGTTAAATCAATGACAGAAAAATTAAATGTCATATAGTTATATCACTTTGTTGAATACACTTTGGTGTAGATTAATTCAAAACTTGAATGTAAAAAAAAACATATTGATTTCACAACATCTAACATAAAACTATTGATTGTCAATTTATTTGTCCTTTCTGTCTATCTCCATATTAAGTCATCATCATCATCATTTGGTTCTGCAGCTCTTTGCGAGCTATGGCCTGCTGAACGATGGGCCTCCATACTCTGTCTTTTGCCATATCTTTACAGTTTTTCAGTTGCAGTTTCTTCAGATCTTCATTTACTTCGTCCAACCATCTTGATTTTGTCCTCCTTCTTGCTTTGCTGTTGAATGCCTTCGTACCCATTACTTTTCTTTGAGCTCTTGAATCGTCCATTCTTTTCATATGACCTAACTATTTTATTAAGTATTCTCAAAAGGGAGGAAGGTTTTGGTAAGTTTACATGCAGCAAGACTATAATAACGTACCTTTTGTACACAATAGCTTTCCAAAGTCATCAAAAATATTGCAGAATAAACTCAAAATCTTCTGGTAGTAACGTGAACTCTGACAGTATCATTTTTTTTTTGTTTGACAATTGATACGGTCAACGGAATTTCCTAGGTCGCTCAAGACTGATGCTCCGTAGTTCGAAGTTCATTGATAGGAGAATTATTTTCGAACTAAAAACGCTAAAGCAGTGAAGATGTGAATTGAAGCTACTTTCCTTACTTTTTATTTTTGGTTCATTAAAACGATGTATTGTATTATAATTGTTTGCTAGCATTTGTTAGCTGCATTATTGCTGGTAATGACACATTAGTTTCCATGTCCGTCTATCTGTATATACGTGAACTAGTCCCTCAGTTTTTGAGATATCGATCTTAAATTTTCACTCGTTGTTTTCCCTCCAAGAAGCTCTCCAACGGAACCGCCAATATCAGACCCCAGTAGCATATATTATACATAGCTACCATACAAACTGAACGATCGAAATCATGTATTGCAATTGTATGGAAAACTTTTTGCTTTGACGAGATATCTTCACGAAATTTCGCATGAATTATTATTTAAAGCAATAATGCAATCTCTGAAGAAATTGTTTGGATCACTATAGGATATACTTAGCTACTACAAAAGCTGAACGATCGGAGTTAAGTGTTTGCATGGAAAGCTTTTTCATTTGACAAGATATTTTGTTGAAATTCGGCATGAGTTATTGCCTAAGGCAATAATGCAATTTGCGAAGAAATTGATCGGATCCCTAAGCATATAGCTGTCATACAAACTGAACGATCGGAAGTTCTGATAAAGAGCCTTATGTATTTGTGAAGGGATTATAACTTCGGGCCAACCAGAACAAAAATATTCCAGAACTACATTAAAGTGAAGGGAAATTAATTTGATTAAATTTCTAAAGCCACAAATTCAGATTCATAATGATTCTATCAAAAAAATTTCAGTAATAATACTCTATGGTTAATAGTAATTGCTACTAAGAATATTACTTTGAAGTTTTGATTTTCTAGTGGTGCATTAGCATTTTCATAGCAATTTTTATATACTTTATTCTCTCTCTATTTATTTACAGGTTTTCGATTGCCGTTATGTTACGACAACCAGTGGTATGTTTGAAGCTATTTGCAATCACATCAAATATGCTACCAATAAAGGAAATCTCAGGTAAGCTGATTTAATAAGAAGATGTTATTAGTTATAGTACAGGGTGAGTCCCGAATCGTGCTACAAAAAAAAAATAGTAATAACTTTTTTTCATGTAATACATTACATTTTTTGTTTTTTTTTTATTGTATAGACAATTTTATTTTATTTTATATAATTAGATACTTTTAAAAATTATAGACCGTAAATGACCTCCATGATCAGACATGCATATGCGTTCAATCAGATTTTTCATATATTATTATATTCATATATAATATATTATATTAGGTCCAGTAAAAGTTTTTTATTGATTAACTAAAGATGATAACCTTGTGTACATTTATCAGATTTAAGCGCCGTTTTGTTCGTAAACTTGTTGCCAACTTCATTATATCCCTCTCGTAGAAGGCTGTTTGCAAAAAACTCGGAGAGCCAATTTTCACAGTCTTCTCTTAAGGCCAACTTCTCACCATTAATTCGCGCTAAAAGTTTGTCTTTGACAGTTTTTCGATTGATTGACTCAGTACGTTGTGAGCGCTCGTCAAAGATGGACACCAGCAAAGAGAAAATTCGCTATGTCAAGGCGAAAAAGCAGCCAAAGCGGCTGAAAAAATTAATTTAGTTTATGGGCCCGATACTGTAAACGAACGTGTAGCACAAAAGTGGTTTACTAGGTTCCGTTCCGGTAATTTCGATGTTTAAGATGCACCACGCGTTAGAAGGCCTGTCGTCGAAAATTGTGATAAAATCATGGAAATAGTGGAAACAGACCGTCACGTGAGCACTTATTTAATTTCTGAAGAACTAAAGATAAGCCAGAAAATCGTTTGGAACTATTTACATATCCTTGGATTCCAAAAGAAGCTCGATATTTGGTGCCACACGAACTAACGCAAAAAAACATGATGGACCGAATTTCCATCTGCGAATCGCTTCTGAATCGCAACAAAATCGATCCATTTCTGAAGCGGATTCTGACTGGCGATGAAAAGTGGGTAATTACGACAACATCGAGCGCAAACGGTCGTGGTTAAAGCTTGGGGAAGCGGCCCAGACGGTGGCCAAGACCGGAGTGACGGCCAGGAAGGTGTTGCTGTGTGTTTGGTGGGATTGGCAAGGAATCATCTACTACGAGCTGCTCCCCTATGGCCAAACACTCAATTCGGCCCATTACTGCCAACAACTAGACCGCCAACAACAGAGGCCGTATTGTGTTCCATCAGGACAACCAGAAGCTCAGGGAGCTCGGATTGGCGGTCCTAATGCACCCACCTTATAGTCCGGACCTGGCACCAAGTGATTACCATCTTTTCCTGTCCATGGCGAACGCGCTTAATGGTGAGAAGTTGGCCTTAAGAGAAGACTGTGAAAATTGGCTCTCCGAGTTTTTTGCAAACAGCCTTCTACGAGAGGGATACAATGAAGTTGGCAACAAGTTTACGAACAAAACGGCGCATATTTGACTTAAATCGGACAAATGTACACAAAGCTATCATCTTTTGAAAAATAAATAAAAACCGAACGAACTTTTTACTTTACCTATTATATATCTTTGACTTTCCTCCATAACAGAGGAATATAGTTTAATTGCAGTGCCCATTTAAGAATGGTTACTAGGCCTTGAAACTTCTTATTACCCAATATTCATTTCTTTCTGACGCTACTTATATCTACAGGAATAAAATCTGTTTCGATTGCGCTTTGCTGTGTATACTCAACCGTATGATTTTCAGAGCTACCTGGGAAGTGGGTATCCATTAGTAGGCCCAAAGACTCTTTACTGAATACCGTCCAGCTGTGGTCTGGCTTCTGAATGTATCGGATTGTTGCATTATTTTCCTAAGCCGAGACGGTTCCGCGGTATTCTCGAGCTCATTACAAAAATATTTCCAAGAATTTTTTTTTGCTTTCCTAAGAACCTTTACTTTGTATGTCCTTAAGAAGTTGTAATATCTATCCCACCCATCTTCGCCTTAGGATAGTTTAGCTAGATTAAACTGCTTCCTGCAATTATTTTGCAATTGTTTGTGTTCGGAAGACCACAATGGCCTAATTCTTCCCCTTCTACGAGTTATTGGACAAGCCACATATAATGCTGGCCGACTCGATACGGTAAATTGATCAACGGGCATGTTTAGGTCCTCTTTGTCTTTGGGTTAGAATGGGGAATCATAGGAATACGTTTCTTCAGCTCTTGCAGGTGCACTTGCCAGTTCGTTTTTCTATGATTCCTCAAATTTTCTACACTGCCAACACTTTCTTTACATTTGCATTCAATGGTGATCCGAAAAGGAGTGTTACTCAAGAAATCTCCAATGGGTTATTTTAACTATTAGTTCTTCCGATAAAAGTGTTATGTCTAATATCGAGTATTCCAAAAGGCATCATGATCTGTAATTTTTTTTTGCATTGTATTCACTAATCTTTACGATTTCATCATGGAATGGATATACGCAAAAACAACGTTAACAAAATATTTAATTTTATTATCAAAATAATTGTTCCCCAATTGCAACTTTTCATGCCACTTTTGCCATTTTATGGTCGTTATGGTTATGGTAAGTGGTACGGTAAATAAATAAAACTGTCGATTCTGGTGCGAAGAAACCCCACAAATTATTCATGAACAACCATTACATTCACCTAAATTGACCGATTGGTGTGTTTTTTGGTCTGGTGGAATCATCGGTCCGTATTCCTTTCGAAATTAAGCTTGTGACATCGTTACTGTCAATGGAGAGCGGTATAGATCGATTATAACCAACTTTTTGGTTTTCGAAGACAATCCTTTCCTTATAATATTATGTATGTTTGTCAAAAATGGATTGAATCAGGTCAATACTTCTCTTAGCCCCCCTTGTATCTAATAGAAAGACTTTCGAACTTCCGGGTGACTTTATACCGCTTATTTCGACTAATATGTGAGTTAACTTAATAAAAGCTGGCGTGTTTTCTTTTTCTGCTAACAATATATGGTAATACCAAAAATACATAAAATCGTGTTTATATCACCCTTATCTCCCTTACACATAATACTGTATATGCTATAGTTTAATCTCGGAAAAACAAACCTTGGTCTAAACCTCATATCCCCAATATAATGAATACTTATCCTCTGGTTGTGGTTTTTCACATCATCATAATATATTAAATTCGGTTGAGTTAATATTACATCTTATATATCACATTTAAGGATGATTTTAATGTAATTTTAGCTGACGCGAAGTAAAATATTTAAATAAAACTAAGTGAGTTTATTACCTATAATATTTAGTACATAATATTCTCATGTCACGTTGTTTGTTCCCAAACTCCTCCGAAATGGCTGGACCGATTTGGTATAATTAACTTAAATAAAGTATACTTTAATTATCTACAACCCTTCATTTGGCTTCATTTGTAATTACATTCCCCAAGCACTTTAAGTGTTAGTTATTTTGAAAAATATTTCCTAAAAAAGTATTCGCTAAAAATTACATATGCATATGGCAAAACAACGCTTCTACAGACCGTACGGTAGGATATCCGCAAAATTGGATTTTTCCCGTATTAGCGAGTGAGCTGAGAATAAAGAAGCAATCTCTTACAATGCAGGGTTGTCAAACTCGAAATTTTTTAGTAATTAAAAATAAACTTGAATATATTTGAAATATTCTTAAAATAGTTGGATTTTAGTTTTGCGTTTTTACATTATGAAAAATTGTAACCAAAAAACTAAATGTGTGAAAAATATATTCAGGTTGATTTTTTAATTACTACAAAATATCGAGGCTGGTAACTCTGCGTTGCAATAGAGCGATCAGCTTACTCGTTTCTACGGGAAAGATCCAATTTTCGCGGATGTCCTACTGTACGGTCTGTAGAAGCGAACATGAGAAGCGGTGGTGAGTGTTCATTTACTTTGCTCTATCATAAGATAAGTCGTATTAGCTGATTTGGTCTACGGTTTTGCGTCGGTGACTGTTTCCAGCATGATAACACATCAAACGTTAAATTTTTTGAAAGTGTATGCGTGTGGAGAGCGACTCAATTGTCCCAGTCGTACGTTTAACTGATATTTTACGTTTTTCAGTTCACGTGTAATGGGGCCATCACTGGTTTCCTTTAAATTGTTTTTGAATGAAAATTGTGTGCTATATATTTTCTAAGGCTGATTTTGAAACTAATGAAATATTGTATATAAATATAGCAGTTTTAATTAGGAACAATTAACAATTGATATATCAAAAAATTACATATCTATATATGTAAATATTCGACATGAAAAAAAATTAAATTCTCACTCAATATGAGAGCGCATATAGAACCATTGATTTTTGCTTCATACATACATGGGTATACTTTCCGCGTGCGTCTTGCTCGCTGCGTAGTCAGACCACCAACACACGCAAAAATGGTCCACTTGGTACGGGTTGCCTCAAAAATTCTACAACTCAAGTTACACTTGGTACCGGTTGCCTACTTATATTCTACTACTAAAGTCACACTTGGAACGGGTTGGCAACTAATATTCTACTACTAAAACGTCCAATCGACTCAAATCTAAACACCCAGAAAAGATCGGTAACGCCGCCTATATTGCAACCTCAGAAGTGATGAGGAAAAGCAATAAATATGTATACAATAACCTTTTGTTTCGAAAATATTCTTGAAAGTATTCATTGATATTCTCCATTACAAATACATGTTCACAAAAAAGTTGTTAAACTACATTCCTTTTATTTACATCTCTGTGTCTAAAAAAGGCAGAGGTGATCTCAGCTGTGTCACACACATAGGAAAACAGCTGATTCTTTGGTTACTTGTAGGCTTAGACAATGGTCAGAAAGTAACTGGCACTGTCATCGTTTCTACGGTATAATAACTGTTGCAAGTCTGTGTGAAACACACGTATATTCAAGGCTGTCGATCATTGCTTTAAAGGAGAGAAAACATTATATAAAATATATTGAAGCATTGACCGATTTAATCAATTTTTAAATTTCACGTTGCTTAATATATTACGGAGATATGAGTAATACTATGTGAAGCAGACAAATGGGTTTGCAACAGTTAAGTTGAGGAATCTCAGAAGCAATTGAAAAACCAGGGAGGTATTCACAAAAAGAACTGACTGTAAAAGTCACAAAAATCTGTAGTTGTTTCTATTTTAATTTAGTCCCTATTCCTTGTTTTTCCCTGCTACCAAGTTTTTTTATACCATGAACAGGGAATATTAGGTTTGCCACAAAGTTTGTGACACCCAAAAAGAAACGTCGGAGAGCATATAAAATATAATTATATATACATGATCAGCGTGATGAACTGAGTCGAGTTAGCCATGTCCGTCTGTCTGTATATACGTGAACTTGTTCCTCAGTTTTTGAAATATCGATCTGTAATTTTGCACAAGTTCGTTTCTCCTTAAGAAGTTCGTTTCTCCTTAAGAAGCTGTTCATTTGTCGGAATCACCGATATCGGATCGCTATAGCATATAGCTGCCATACAAACTGAACAATTGGAATCAAGTGCTTATTTGGAATATTTTTTTATTTGACGAGATATCTTCACGAAATTCGGTATAGATTATTTTCTAAGGCAGTAATGCAATCTCCAAAAAAATTGTTCAGATCGGATCCCTAAAGTATATAGCTGCCATACTAACTGAACGTTCGGAATCAAAAAACCTTTTGTATTTTTGAAGGGTATTATAGCTTCAGTGCAACTGAAATTAATGTTTTTTTTTTATTTAATATAACATCGGATTCGTTGTCATACATTCTGCATTGTGAAAACTTTGTATTGAATAAAACTTTTGAAGCTTGACTATCCGCAACAAATTTAACTTGTTTATTGAATGTAGCTACATACATATGAGCGTTTGTGTTTACATTCACATACCTATATGTAGATAAATAAAGGTATCTCTTTTAATGTCTACTTATTTATGTTTATTTCATTTTCAAAAGATTGCTGATTTGTGATTTGCAAACTAACTTCTTTCCGGTTTATAGGTCGGCAATTACGATATTTCCGCAGCGCACAGATGGTCGCCACGATTATCGCATTTGGAATAGCCAGCTAATTTCCTATGCTGGATACAAGCAAGTTGATGGACAAATTATTGGGGATCCTATGAATGCGGAATTTACCGAGGTAAATGAGACTAAATGTGTATTTGTATTTGGTAAAAATAATTTGAGCTTATTAAATTCAGGCAAACTGTAAATACGTAATAATGGTTAAAGTCAGTCTGAGTGGTGATCATTTGGTTCACTCCACATACTCGGCACTGCAAACTTAATTGCTGTCTTTTCACCTCGTTACCAGCTGTCAAAAAAACGTTACATATTATAACCTAATGAATGTTATTAAAATAGTTAAAAATTATTATAAAAGAAAATAAAATAAACTCACCACCCATAATATATCTGGAAGAGTTACTTGACACAAGTGGATCCCATTTTTTGTCCTCGCAAATCTTTAAATTTGTACTTAAATCATACTTTTTCTCTCTCATTTTAATAAGTTCGCCGCAAAAAGAGCAAAACTCGTCAGCGTATCATTTAAAACTTCTGGAGGACATTTTGAACTGGTTGTAACAGTGAACAAAATTATCAAACACGTTATTCCCCTGCAATATGCATACACATACCAGGGATGTCCAACTTATTCCAGTGTTAGAGCGCCTCAAAATGAGCGCTTTGTATAATATTTTCCTATGTAGTCAGATCGGGCAAAATATTAATTTTTAGGCATTTAAATTTAAATACCCAACATTTAATAAGATGAAATATTGTATTATTATTACATGTATCCATTATGGATATAACATATGGAGAAATAATTTAAATCCTTTTTTGTGATTTTGTGATATATTATAACAACAGATTTTTGAACTTTAAATGCTTAATAAAGTGAATAAATGGAATAGCACTCAATTATTAAATGTGTTTTATTATTTTCAATTGAAAGTTAATACTACGAAGCATGGCATCACAAAAGATGTTATCACATACATTTCAATTTCGCGTTTTTCACATATTATTTGGGTAGGATTTCAATCTGGCCATTTCTCTCTTTCCAATTGCGTGAAAACCTCCTGAACTCAACTGTCAAATTTCAGGAGGTTCTGACATTAAGCAATTCCTCTTTCATTTAGTGACCGATGAGTTAGTCATCTCATTACCTCTGCACATACTGTCGTATACAATGAGCGCTGTAAGCAACACTACCTTCCTCTCTTTCGACGGAAACCGCGCGCGATCACCGACGCGAAAATTAAAAATGGTCGAATCGCTATAATTGCTTAAAAAACAAATATTTTCGATTTGTAATCGTCCTTTCCCATATACATATCTTTGCTTATAAATATAACCAGAATATATAATATTAAGTAAAACCCATGCTCAAAAAAAAGAGTTGTTTCTCCTGAATTAACGCCAAGATTCAGTACCAATTCTAACACTTAAGTTTACAGTATACTTCACTTTGAATGAAATACGAGCATACGTTAATAAAGAGGACAACCTTCAATTTATGCAACTGTGAAGTTTTTTATGCGATATTAAGTATTCCCGAATCTTATTATTTCATTATGTGTACGGACCAACGCACTATCTTTTGTCGTTGGAGCTTTCGTGTCCGTTCAAAGTGATTGTAGTTTTTTATTTAAATTTGGCATAAATCACGGCCAGGTGTAGCCTCACGTTTTTCACATTAAGAAAAGCTCAAGCTCATCATTGAAAACTTTCTTATAAAGTTTAGTTAGTTTCAATATGGTCGTTAATTATATGATCAGATGTCTCATTTCATCTACAGTACTATTATAAAGAGGAAAGATTTTTGTATATGTTTGTAATAAATAAACTCAAAAATTACTGTGCCGATTTCGAAAATCTCTTCACCATTCACTCTGAGCAACATAGGCTATATTTATTGCTAGAAAGTATTAGGGATCCTTACTAAAACTTAAATAACAACCCAAGGTGTAAACAAAAATTTGCGTTGCGAAAACTATTAATGATAGCCCAAAAGTATGTTCTACAATATTAAATTGTATATAACATATCGAGCACGGTCATCCAAATCTCTATTATCACTATTTAAATTGACCATATTAGGATTTTTACCCACTGTGAATACAAAAATACATAAAATAATTTTTAGAGAAAGTAAACTTTTGACCGTACTACCATGAAAATGTGCTTGAATATGTTTAACAATATAATACTCACTCTTAAAGTTGGTTTAGTTAATTTAGTATGAAATTTTAGTGTATAATTTTTGTTAAATAATAATATTATGCTAAAATTTAAGGTTTTAAAGTGTACCATGCATCTCAAACTCGTGTAACATAAAAAATTACCGAAGTAACTCCAGTGTTGCTAAAAAGTTTTATTGTAATTATAATTTGAGATGAGTCTATAATGGCTCACAAATGTTCTGGTTAAACGGCAACTGTCTGGTGATTTCCGACAGATCGGTCAATCTTCACTTTTCTAAATTAAAGTGTTGAGATTATTTGATTGACCATAAATATGGGTATGTAATTGCAAATTAATCAACCACCACAAATATATTCCGAACAATTGCTAGAAATTGGGAATGATATAATAAAACTGTAACCAAATACTTAATGCATTCCATTACGAGACAAATTCTTCTCTACTGTTCACGACCTTACTTAAATTCACAACAAGCTGAAAATTTGTGAGATCGTTTAAGATATAATTATAAATAAAATTTCAAAGTTTCCCTGTATGGAAAAAATTCTATTCAAAAAATAAATTTTTTTTGCGATTTTTTGTGATTTTCAGCAAAACGGTAGGTAGGTAAAGTGGCTGTCTTTTGACCCACCTAGGCCTTTAGGAGGCCCATTGTGATACCACCGGGACTGTGGTCCCCTCACTCTATTGGTTCTTCTCTGAACCACCCCGTACTTCTGATGAACTTCATCAGTGAGACAAGTTTTATCCGTTCAACCTCCGAGCCGTCGTTAAGAAACCCACGACCGATGGCTGCGATTCTTTTCCTATATAGCGCTGCGCAGTCGCATAGAAGATGTTTAATGGTCTCCTCTTCTTCTATTTCCTGACAGTTGCTACTTGTACAATAGTCGTTATATGGCGTACCAAGTCTATTTGCATGTCTGCCTATTAGACAGTGACCTGTTAGTAGTCCTACTAGAGTTTTTATATCATTCCGCTTGAATTTTAACAGTTGGGATGTGCGGCTAATATTCCATTAATGCCACGTTTGCCAGCTAGTTGAGCAAGTCACGGACTAATTCCACTGACGCTCGGCTATATTAATGACATGTTTGTCGATTAAGTATCTACAAGTAGCCAGAGGCATATATATCTCCTTACCAGGATCTAGTTGTAGGGTGGTGCCTGTTGTGGCTAGTTCATCTGCTACACAGTTCCCGGGGAGATCATGGCATTCTTTCACAGTCTTCGACAAAATCCTATCAGACATCAGAGATTTCAAAGCTGTCTGTATATATAGATATATTCCTTGTTGTGAGCACACTCCTTGTCAGTACAAGAAGACTTTCTTTAATTTTGGCATCGATCAAGGGATTCTTGGAGCTCTTTTGTGAGCTTCTCATTGGTTGGAGGTTGCAGCTCCACCTTCCTCAGCAGGTATACAACGTGTCGCTTCTCTGCATACCTTGCCTTCGCTGGGTCGTCGATCCTAAAGGTAGGCTTTTCTCTGGCTGACCCACTACCGGCAGCATCACTTTTGGCATCTCCCGCCTTCCCCTGCTTAGCAGTCAAGCCTTGGCTACAGGGGTTGGTATGGGCTGCCTCCGGTTCTATTGCTATACTGGCGCCAGTCGTGGCTTCTGCACCTTTAGTGTTTGGCTTTGCTCCAGGACTGGTTCATATTTTGAAACCACGAGTGTAGGGGAAAGTATGTCCGCTTGCGCATAGTCCCGCTACACAAGTAAGGCTATCTTATTACGGAGGGCGCCAGGTATCCATAAGCTCCGTGCGTGACTTTTTTTTTAGGGCCCCCAGCCACCACACCACACCTTGATCCAGCCCTTTACACACCTCCTACCATAGTAAGACCTCCTATATGGATGCTGCACTATTGAAGAGTACCGAACACCCAGATAGGAAGCCTGACATTAGCTAGATACCTCACTACTGCAACAGGTGAACTGCTGCCAGCTCGTCCTTGCCTACATCGAGAAACTGTGGTATCTATTCCCAGTCGGCACCCTCGTTAAGGTTCAGCTGAGGATTTTTGCCAACCCAGCAAAACGGTAAATTTTATCATAAAAATATCTCAGACCAAAATTGTAGATCATAAAATTATAGATCAAAAAATTTATTAATATTTTTTTCTTACGAGTTACTATTTCGAAGACATAACGATTCAAAAATTTAGAAAATTTGTAATCGTTATAATATGCATGAGTTCGCCTCGTACAAGTTTATACATCTTCATAGTTTTAATACAGCAGAACCTCGATAAGTTAGAGTCCAGGGGAAACACAAAATATTTTAAATTGTAGAGGTTTTAAGTTATCAAGGGTCTTTGTTAGGGATAGGTTTATATAGAAGTAGGTATGTACATATGTATGCATGTTCCCTTGTTCCTATTTTTACTCGAATGAGTCAGAAGGATTGGTTTAATAAAGTGAGTGTTGTTAGTTTTCTTTTTGAACTAATTTTAAGCCAGTTTTATCACACAGTAGGTTAGCCAATGTTTCCAGGACATTGATCAAAAACTTATGATTATGATCCACGTAAGTTGTTGTCTTGAGGCTAACCACCGCAAGGCTTAAAAGAATTTCGAAGAATCAAACAATAGGTGATATATGCATTGTTTACGATACTTAAAATATAAGATATTATATATATATATAAGAATATCAGGTAGTAAGCCACCCAGTTCCTTGAGTTATATGCCATTTTGACCCTCAGAGAACTTCTGTCTCCTGTTCAACAATATGAGGGCTATCTTTTGACTGCTATGGCAAATGAAATACCGCCAGTCTTGAAAGCTACGCTCTTGTGAAAACACGTGTTTATTCTAACCTACAAGTGCGTTCCAAAGTAAACAGGATTTAAAAAAAAAAGACAGAACAAATGGTTTTATCGGCAAAATCAATGTATTTTATTCAAAATAGCCTCTTTCTGCTTTAATACAGTTTTTCACGGTCCAAAAGCATGTCGAACGAGTGTTTTAGCTCGATGACCGGTATGGCCGCCAGTATGCCGGTGCAAGCCTTTTGAAGGGCCTTCACGTCTTCATAACGGTTTTCTTTCATCGGCAAATGCATTTTTCTGAAAAGGTAGAAGTCGCACGGTGACATATCAGGTGAATAAGGGGAGTGGTTGATTGTTAAAATGTGATTTTTGGTCAAATAATCGGCCACAAGCGTCGATCGATGAGACGGCGCATTATCGTGCAACAAATGCCAACTTCCGTCTTCGCGATATTCGGGCCGAACACGTCGAATAAGGCGCACCAAACGCTTCAAAACTCCAACGTAGAATACCGCATTAACGTTTTGGCCGGGTGGAACAAATTATTTGTGGGCAATACCCTTGGAATCATAAAAACAAATCAGCATTGTCTTCACTTTTGACTTCTCCAGGTGCGATTTTTTGGGTTTCGGCTCGTCCGGCCATTCCATTCAGCACTCTGGCGTTACGTTTCGTGATCATATTGAAAAAACCACGTTTCGTCACCAGTCACAATCTTGTAAAGGTAGTTCGGGTATTTTTTTGCCTCTTTAATGATGTCCTTTGAGTGTTGAATTCTGAGCAATTTTTGGTCGTCAGTCAATTTGTGCGGAACAAACCGTGCACACTTTTGTAAGCCCAAATGTTCGGTCAAAATGCGATAAATCGATGTTTTGGAGATGTTCAATTCTATTTCCATGAATTTCAATGATGATTTCGGCTGATTTTTTATGAATTGAATATGAAACATACTGACACTTAAAGCGCAATAACTTCACTTCCAATGGATGAAATGTTATGAAATTTTTACTGGAAGTCGATAAAGGGTAGCAGATTCTAACGCACTAGTCGACATATAGATGGCGGCACTAGATTTTACTTTGTTACTTTTTTACTGTTTACTTTGGAACGCACCTTGTATATCGTGGTGTTTTGAGTTTTATAATAAAAAGGTCTGAATATTGTTTTATTTGTGCTAAACTATTAGGTGAAAGTGAAGAAGTAACTTTGTTGAACGGGGTATGAAGACATTAATTAATTCAAGTATTAAAGGAACTGATGAATTTTAGGAATATCTAAAGAATCGGAAATCTGTGACAATACATGAAAGTAAAAATTATACTGGGAAGTCTTCTATTGCTGCCTGTAATAAAATATAAAGTGAAGAACAAGAAGCCAGTACATCTACAGCAAGTTCACCTCGTACTAGATCACGTGTCAGTAATTCAGGTTTTTGTTTTAAAAAACTGTACTTGTTTTGTGGCCAGGGATCGAATGAAGAATATGAGTAAAAAAATCATTAGCTTTCCGCCGTTGAATTTAAAGATTCAATTATGAAAGTAGCTTGTATTCGTGCCAATGCTGCAGCAAAAGCTATTGTCGCTCGAGTCGAATTTGAAAATGATTTAGTTGCAGTTGAAACCAAGTATCATCATGATTGCTGTATTTCTTTCTAGAAACCCTCCATTGGAGGTAAAGTCGGTCATCCAAAAGATGAAGCTACGGAATAATTTCAAATTAAACAGGATCATAACGGACAGATGGAATAGGCCTACTGGGGAAACCACATTAAAACTCGTTAAGTACACTACCTAATAGATTGCGTGGAAACGTGTGCATATTATAACGATTACAACTTTTATACATTTTTGAATCGTTATATCTCCGAAACAGGGGCTCGTAAAACAAAAAAGTATTTTTTATAGATAATTTTATAATCTACACTTTTGTTATGATATATTTTTATGATAAACTTACATTTTTGCTGAAAATCGCAAAAAAATCATGTATTTGACCTTTGATCTTGAATAATATACAGGGGAAAGATGGGGAACTTTAAAAATTTATTGAAAATTATATTTAAACGATCTCACTAATTTTTAGATTGTTGTGAATTTATGTAACTTCAAATGTATAAATTTACCGGACTATTATTAATTAATAGTATTTTTCCGGATATAAAAATTTAAAAAATATAAAATTACTTGGATCTTAACAGACTCAGTAATCGGGCCACAAAGCGGCTACAAATGTAGATTTATTTCTATATATGTATAATAGTTGTTGCCAGGTGATCTGATGTTTTTTAAAGCATTCGCTAATTTTGTTGACGGAAGTAAAAATGAAATAAAAAATGCCAAATTGTGTTTCTTATTCTTTAGATATACCCGTAATGGCATCACATAATTCTCGGTGGAAAATTGGTTCACCCGTTATTATTTACAGTAATTGGAATCCAACTCGAATATGCAACGGTACACGTTTTTGGAAAAATTAATAGAAAAATAGTCCTGTTGTTATCTATTCCAATGGTATACATCTAACAATATAAAATTATTTGACGAAGAAATTGAAATTACTCTTAATATTCTTTTGTTACTTACGAGGAGACGAGAACAAATATTGAAAATCGTAATCGAGCGGTATATTTTTTAAATAAAATTTGACGCTCGGAACGCTATGAGAAATAAATTCATATTGCTTAAACTAATTGCGAGCAGTAAAATTTGCTTACGGAATCTTAAACATAGTTAAATAACGCATGTTAAAAGTTAATTAATAATATGGAAATAAAAAATTATTTTAGTTATTAATATTTTATTAAAATATAAATATTTTCCGACAAATCCTGAAAATTTCACTAATTTATTTTTAACGGTTGATTTAAAAACTATTTTTTAAAATTAAAAGTACCTAAATATTCATTTAAAAATAAATGATATTTAAAATTAAAATTTTTAAAAATCGTTTGAGGATACATTTTTCACTGCAGCTACTTATGGAAAATATACATGGACTTAATTTTTATGATCAAGTGGTTCTTCGTTATCACTTTTATCTGGAATGGTGCACAATGTAGTGTCATGGCTAGTGGGAGCCCTTATGCACAAGAATTTGCTGTAGGCACTTTACTCGACATGGGAAGGTCTTCAAGAATGTGCGGCCGGAGGAGGTGGTTAAAGCCCCGGAAAAGTTTGAGGTATAATTGAACCCCAGGCACCTCATATATAGTCTTCTTTGCGCGAGAACGGTCATACTCGAGTGGTGTAGTGCAAACACATCCTGAAAGCTAAATAGGGACACCCCGCAGTGTGAGGTATTTTCTCTACTGCTTTGGATCTTGGTGGTTAACGATCTACTTAAAGAACTCGTGATAGACTACGCTGACGACGTTGTTCTTATGGTTAAAGGAAAAATTATAAATATTGTCTACAAGCTAGCCAAAGCATATCTCAACGTGGTATCCAACTGGGCATATAGAAGCGGATTAGTCGTCAACCCGACTAAAACTGAAATTATTTTATTTACCCTAAACATCCGTTTTAGAGCATGTCTTTTAGATAACATAATTTTTTAACTCCGTTTCCAAGTTTTACTTTTTATGAAGTAATACTTAAATGTATAATTTTTTGTACTCACCATAAAATATCGCAATAAATTAAGTGCGTTTTTCTGCAATTCTTAAATTACTTGACAGCTTTGTGATCATTCTATGTTATTGTTTGGTCAATAGTAAATTTAGAGGTAACGTATTAAATTGTATATGAATGCTTGATTATGGTGATAATACCAAATATGCATTTGTAAATAAACATATTAATAAATATTATGTGGATTAGTACTTTAACTACTTACGCTTGACGGATATACCTGAATATATTATATAATACTACTTGATATGTTCCGTAATTTTCTAGCGGTGTTTTGCAAGCAGGATACAAGAAAGCACAATATTATAAATTATTGTTAGTGAAATTTATTCTTTGTTTATCACAATTTTATATGCAAATTCTGAAAGACAGAAATTCTAAGAAACCCTCTGTCTCACGCTAGATATATAATCGGTAGTTTTTCTGTATTCTAAGAATATTTTTTCGATGAAACCTACTATTATTTCTATAACTTTACAATCCATGGAAAGTTATATTTTGCTTTAAACATTTTATTAAATCACGAACTCGTATTTGGATTTTTTTGCATACTTTATAAGTACTATAGTCTATCCATATATTTGAGTTTCATTGTTAATTTTTAAATACCATATTTAATAATAAATATGTATCTGTCTTTTTACATAGGTTTGCATAAAATTGGGTTGGAAAGGTAGAGGGACAGAATGGGACATTTTGCCTTTGGTTGTATCAGCAAATGGCCATGATCCGGACTATTTCGACTATCCATCAGAATTGATATTGGAAGTCCCATTAACTCATCCAAAGTAAGTTCATTCTAAGTATATTGTACAGTGGCTCCAAACGATGACGTATTCCCATAAACATGTATTATATTTTATACACTCTACCGAGAAATTGCAACAAAATAAGTCTAAGTTTTCATATTACTATTGCATAAATAGTCAGAATAAAATTGTATACATTAAAACAGCGACAACAACACTCCACTCATTTGATTAAATCAACATTTACAACTCCAAAAAATATCTCAAAAGTCATATTATACTCTCGCAACATGCTGCTACAGAACATAATAGTTTTGTTCACCTAACGGTTGTTTGTATAATAGAAAACTAATCAATATAGACATGGACTTATATATACATATATAAATAATCAGGATGACAAGACGAGTTGCTTTCCGGTTAACTGTCTGTCCGTCCGTCTGTCCGTGCAAACGATATATATGTACATATATATCTTCTTTAGCACGCAAGAAAGGTTATTTTTGCAGATGGGCGTAGTAGGACCATTTTCTCGCCCACAAAACGACATTAAGCGAAAACTTATAAAGTACTATACCCAAACTACAAATTAAGATTAAAAACTGTTATTTAATACAGGGGAGAAGCCACTAAGGGCTGAAAAATTTAAATAAATTGGCATAGGACCGCCCCTAATTTATTAATGCACATATGTATTTATCTTATAAATTATATATCTACTTTAACCAAATTTACTCAGAACAAATCCTTTTGGTACTTGACAGTGTGAAAATTAGTGAAATCGGATAATAACCACCCGCGCACCCTATTATGACGGTTATGTTGAAATCTACATAAAGTGAGATAAATAACCAAATAAATACGTCAGAAGTATTAAATTTCACAGTTTCATCGGCCCCAATATACAAATTGGACAATGGGCGTGGCACCGTCCACCTTCAAGTGAAATCTTATACCTCAGGAGGTTCTCTACCCAGTTTAACTCAATTCGGTGGGCAATATTATATTGACATTGATACCTTACAGTGTTAAAATGGGCGGAATCGAAATACTACTACATTTACATATCAGAACATTTTAAGATCTATCTATTTCCTTCATTTTACAGTATACAAATAAACTCAAATGAAGTTATCGGAAGAAAACTTTATACAAATAGTGCCCCTAAGGTATGATATTTAACGTTTCAAAATGGTCGAAATCTAATCATAATTTATCAAGCTCTCGGATACCGAATATGTGGACCTGAGTGCCTATGACTGACTTTTTACTGAAAATAATAGTAATAAAAATGTATAAAATCGGGGGAAACTAACCTAAGCCCCATATAACTAATTTATTTAAACATTTATTTAATTTTTGCTGCTTATCTCATAAAAACATTTACATAAATCTCTTTAAGTATTAGAGATTTAGTTTTGTATTTCTTCATGTCATTTGTATGTACTTAGGAATAAAACAAACGTTTGATGAAATTATGAAATTCATAATATTAAAACCAAAGCACTAATAAACATGACGAACAAAACGCAAACAACTAATACACAGAAACTAAATATATATGTACATAAGCCAGACCGTACATGTTCATACAAGTACATAAACACGAACATATAGTAAATATATCATAAGCAAGATATCAAAAAACTGCTTGGTAGAAACACAAGAATAACACAGAGAGGGACAAAAGGTGGCAGCTGAATTTAATAGACTAAGAAAATATTACCTACCTATATTAACTACCGATATAATCATTGTTGCTTGATATGCATATTGGAAAGTGAAAGAATCAAATGGAAATTCAATGGTGTTATATGGGAAATAGGCGTGGTTGTAGTCGGATTTCGCCCTATAACATAGAAATATGAAAAGAACGTTATGCACCGAATTTGGTTGAAATCGGTTAAGCAGATCCCAAGATATGGGTTTTCACCTAAAAGTGGGCTGTGCCACACCCACTGTCTAATTTTGAACGCGGTTACTATAAAGTCATCTCATACCATCCCAGAGATAAAATTTAATGTCTCTGGCGTGTTTAGTGCTTGATTTATCGCGGTTTTAGTAGTTTTTAACAGTACCGTTATATGGGGAGTGGGCGGTGTTGCCACCCGCTTTCAACTATTTTCACACCGTCAATAGAAGTGCTAAAAACATTTGCTTCTAGTGAATTTTGTTATTATAGCATTAGCGGTTTAGGAGATATGCACATTAAACCTATTAGAGGCGGGACCACGCCTACTTTTTAAAAAAAGATTTAACTGCAGATGCTTCTCCCCAATGTGATCCTGTGTACCAAATAACAGTCTTGTGTCTTATTGCGGAGCTTAGTTATGGCAATTTATTTGTTTTTGATTAATGGCGTTTTGTGGGCGTGGAAGTGGTCCGATTACGCCCATCTGCAATACCAACCGTCTCACGGTACCAAGAAACATGTCTACCAAGTTTCATAAAGATATCTCAATTTTTACTCAAGTTAGAGCTTGCACGGACGGATAGACGGACAGACGGACGGACGGACAGACAGTCACCCGAATTTCAACTCGTCTCTTCCTCCTGATCATTTATATATATATAACCCTATATCTAACTCGATTAGTTTTAGGTGATACAAACAACCGTTAGGTGAACAAAACTATTATACTCTGTAGCAACAGGTTGCGAGAGTATAAAAATACACCTCTCGACAGGGCACTGGTAAAACAATAAGTAAACATATTACTACATACAAATCACTTAGTTATATACATGGTCTGTTCAAAAAGAATCGCTAATTTTGTATTTATAAAAAATTGTTTATTTATTCATGAATGTCTATTTTGTCCCCTTTGTGATCTTGTTCAGCTCTTCCTTCGATGCAGTTTTTATCTCCTCAATGGTAGCGTAGCGTCTTCCTCTCATGGGCTTCTTTAGTTTTGGGAACAAAAAAAGTCACAGGGAGCCAGGTCTACAGAATACGGTGGCAGCGACGTCATTAATGTGTTATTTTTGGTCAAATATGATGTTTGTTTCAAAACTATCGCGAATTTTGAATTTTCGCGAGCTGCGTGCATCTCATCTTCACCGATTAACAATATTTATTTTTTCCCCTTCAAAGTAATCCCCCTCGGATAGAATACACTTGTGCCAACGCGTTTTCCAATTTTCGAAGCTCTGTCTTTAATTCTGACTTGATCTCATCAATTGTGGCAAAACGCTTTCCTTTCATTGGTTTCTTCAGTTTTGGGAATGGAAAAAAGGCGTAGGGAGCAAATCTGGTGAATAAGGTGGTTGAGGCATGTTTACGGTATTTTTTGCTGCCACACGTTTCATGCCAACATCCTCTGAACAAGAAGAACATTTCAAGAACATTTTTTTTCACATTTTTTGAGACAAAGTGGACTCACCGATTGCCACCGTCAACATTTCAAGTGCCTTGGAGCACTTCATTTCATTTTTAACGCAAAATTTAATACATATTCTTTGATCCGCTTCTTTCAAAAATCAAAAATCGATGAGCAAACAAAAGTGTGACTAACCTTTTCTGTTGTCAAAAACAAACTACTGATCGCAATTGGCTTCTAATGCAATCACATGATAAACTTATATGTCCGATTATAACAAAGTATCGATAACCGAATGTACTCAGCCCGCGAAAAATTAAAATTCACCTTTTCTTTTGGACACACCTCGTAACTTAAGAATTTCCAATAATATAAACCCCACCACATGAAGCAAGTATATACTAGAGCCACTAAACAATAATATGTGGATGATAATGATACGTAAGGTTTTCTGGTGAGATCAAGATCAAAACATATACTTATGTATTTTCTTAAAAAATACAAACATCAGCTACATTTACAGACATTATTTCTTAATATACAATAGAAAAAATACTTCTGATTTTCAAGAGTTTTTGCCTTGTTGAAGGTCTTTTTTATGTTACTAACAATAATCTGCTAGCATTCCTGCCCTTAATTTCCTTTGATAGCGGTTTTCCATGAAGGAAATGCCTTAATGGAGCCTCTCGCCGTGTTCATCACTCACAGCACCCGAATTTGCCGGAAAATAATACAAATGAGAACCCAGCATATGTATTGTACTTTTAAGGTCCTAATATGACATTTTAGGTTAATTTTTTTATACTCTCGCAACCTGTTGCTACAGAGTATAATAGTTTTGTTCACCTAACGGTTGTTTGTATCACCTAAAACTAATCGAGTTAGATATAGGGTTATATATATATAAATGATCATAACGCTCTTACTGGATTTAAAATATCATACACAGATGCAAAATCAGCTAAACGAAGAGTTTCTACTGATCGGATTCGAACGTAACGGTCTAAAATACCGGCCATTTAATATTTCATTCGAACCTGAGAAACGGTTCTGAAGTTCCGCCTTGTCACCCAGTGCCTGATATAAATTTGGGACCTATATGTTGAAGTTTTGTTTAAAAGTAATTTCCATTATTTATCTTGATAGCTTCATTTAAGAGCCTGGAAATTCTGTTAGACTTGTTAATATAATTAACTATATATGAACAGCAATGCATCCGGTATATTGATATCCATATTTGCTCAATAGAGGTCCAAAATCAGAGGGTTATACATTTATAAACGGACTTGTTATTTTCTTTTGTGAAAATGTTAGTTTTGTTAAACTTGATCTATGCGCTAACAAATAGTCATCAAAAGACGTATTTAATCTACTATCAGACAGGAAATGTTGAAAATCGTTTAAATTAGAAATGTCTTCAGTTTATTAACTTAAAACGTTTTAAATTTTAAAAGCTTCCTTGTGTCTTTCTTGAACTTTGACTTATTTCTGTAAGAGGTAACAGTATTTACGTTTAGGCTTTGGTGGAACGTTTCTACCCAACGTACATACAAGTATATTGTTTCATCTTACCTGGCGCTATAATCCAACGGTTAAAGTCCAAGTTTTATACAGCATATTGACCAAAAGAGTTTCTGAGCCCTGACTTAGCCTGAAGGTAAAAGACTCGTGCAAATACACAATATTATATTATTACCTGAGGTTGTTAATATGAGAAGT